ATCGATATCGTATCGATATCGTATTTACATCGAAATGATATAGTAAAGATAAACTTAACGATCTCGATTCGATTATCGTCAAAGTATGGTAAAGTTATCGTAATGATATAGATTCAATATCGAATCTATATTGTTAGAATTTTTTGAGTTTCTGTAAAGAATTACACATTAACAATATGTATATAGATCATATCAAATACTTTTAAATAAAATTATAATTATATAAATATAATCACTATAAGCAAAATTATTTAACTTCAAATATTAAAATAAAATTACATTATTATGCTAATTGAAATTAATAAAAATTGCATTACAGATTTAATTCACTATCTGATATGTTTTTTTGCAATAAAAAGGTCAGAGAAATAAACTAACAACTGATATATTTTATAATTTTACTTTATAAATTAATAATTTACATTTCTTTATAATTTTTACTTTATGAAATAGTGACATAATCTAATCTAAGTTACCAGTAACTGATTGAAAGTTATTTTTTTAAAATTATAGTCTAATAATAAAACATTTTTTTTTTATCTATTTTATTATATATTATAATTAAGATTTTATTGACTAAAATTGTTGGTTTAATTTATCTAAAAGATAAAAACTTTAGATAAAAATTAGTAAATCAAACTTTAGACATTTGTTAAATCCAAAATAAATTTAGATAAGTAACCTTAGTAATATAGATTTATTAAACAATTAGAATTTTGGCTAATATAAATTTATAATATTGAATAAAATCTAAGCATATATTACATAGTAAAAATCAAATAAAAAATCATTCAATTTAATTATTTTTGAAAATATATTAATTTTAAATAAAATTTAAAGAATTAACAATGTTAATTTAAAGGTAATATTCTAATTAATATTAATAAATATATTAATATAAAATGGAAAAATGTATATAAATAATGGTTAAAGTTACATTTTTATTAGAAACATAATTATACTATAAGTAATTTAATTCTATTATAATTAGGTTTAATCCAAAGGTTAAACTTTTCATAAAATTTAATAATAATAATGAATGTATCATAATAATAGTGAATGTATCAATTTAAAGAAAAAGAAAAAGATAAAACAGCTGATAAAAAGTTGAATTTATCAATTATTGTTAAAAGTGATAAATAGAAGTTCAATTAATATTCGTCGAAAAAGCAATTGATTAATTATATCATCAAAAAATTTCAAATAAAAATAAAAGAAAATATTAAGGGCAGGTATAGATGCATGATATATTTAAAAATACAAAAAAATTTTTTTTTAATTTGAGCCAAATTTCAATATGCAGGGAAACCTTTTGTCTCGCGGTATATTTCTGAAGAAATTGATTGTAGATATATAAAGATCATTAATTTAATTAACTGTAACGTTATGGAAATAAAAATAGGCAAATAGTGAAACTGCGCAACTCAAACTAGTAATGTACCATGACTCGTTGTCATGAAGCCTTTTTTGGGAAAGGAGTCGAGTTTCTTTTTACCATAAGCAGATTGAAGCTTATATCATAAATACCTATAACATGCGTGAGAATATCAAGAAACTGTAGTATAAATAAAGTAATATATATCATATATATACCGGGATGTTATGTCACTGTCTACAGACGAACTTGTTTGTTTCCGTGTTAATATTTGCAACAAATAATTTGTATTTCTCTTCTGTGTTCTTTTCAAACTCTATGTACTGTTTATCTCCTTGACAACAAAGTCAGGTCGCCCATTCTAATTCTCGACAGCTAATATATGTCTGTAACTAAAAATTTAACGAAAAAAAAAAGTATTAGCAAAATAAAACTTTTGAATAAAATCAACTTATTTTGTTATTTATGTGGTTTATGGAATATATACTCGCCACATACTAGACTTCTTCAATTCAACATACGCTAACGTTGAAATACTTTAACGGGGTCTGCTACCAGAGTTTTTTTTGAATCAGTTCTCAAGAGTTGGTTAGTTATGTGATTAATATTGTGAGAGACTTGTCTTATGGTGTTTTCTATGCTAACTATGAAATCCAATTTTAAGAAAAACGTCTGTTTAAGAGCACAACTGGGAAATTGGACGAACAAGAATTAGAATGGAAGGTAAATGGAAGAGTTGAAGAG